CCTGAACTGTCAGTTCCATTAAGATCAACTATGTTATAGAGCTTTGGGTTACAGGTAATGCCTAGAACAGATATTCATATTCATTGTCAATGATCAAAACAAAAAATCTACTGATTTGAGTACCTAGAACTAAATTAAAGTGCATCACAATTTTCTATCAGTTGAAGAACTGGTTAAGGGAACCCAGAAGATTAAAAAAAAAAAAAAAGTTTCCCAATTGCTGTGTGCCCTCGAGTTTATTCTGATTCATTGCAACTCAACAGGACAGAGCAGAACTGCCCCCATAGGGTTTCCTAGGCTGTAAACCATAGGGGTGGCAATCCCAATTGATTTTCTTGGTGCAGACATAACTCTTGATAGACATCTACCAGGTCAAGGAAGGAATGCCTGTACCATGTAAATGACATACTAAAAGAGATGCTAGAAAAGGCTTTAAAAAACAACCCAAAAGCACCTATGGTATGTATTTCTTTCTGGATTTTTAGTTTTGTACAGGTGAATACAGGCAACTCTGAGGAAGGACAACTGCATTAAAACAATCAAATGACAAATTGTGAAAGCCTTTGCAAATCAGATTGAACAGAGCTACAAGAGATTCACTCCTAAACAAAGTAAAACCAAATCTCAGAAAATTTAGCTTCTTGTCCTAAGTGAAAAATGAGATAAAAAAAATCTGGTAATGTTATTTTTTTCCAAATTCTAAAGCTAATCAGAGAAGTATAAACATTTTATAAAGGTGCTAAAATAATATCACTCCTACAGAGATCATGAATAATGAATCCACGGCCTCTAACTACGGTTACAGGCCTACGACACTGTTGTTTACTTGGTGACTTTTTTTTCCCTTTTTTAAAGGGGAGAAGGGTGAGGGTGGCAGGATGGGTGGAAATCAGTATAAATACCTTCTTGGAGTAAACACCACAACTCAGCTGGTTTTTTTTTTTTTTTTCTGATAACTTGTAGCACTTGTTAATAAGAGCACAATGACATGAACTGATAATTTGAAAAAGGCAACAGGCACCTGCAGCCTCTCGATCACTTAGCAAATTATTTCCAAGACAGGGCCAAACTCTGGGCTCTGGGCGAGTAGGCGGGAGTCACTTTTCAATACTGGGCTCCTTTCTCAGTAAACTGTAAATCTTGGGGTAACTGGGACCCTTCCCGGGGATCCTGAGCTGTGAGCTGCCTCAGGTTTTTAGACTACTCTCTCCTCCTACCACACGTGACCGAATGGCAATCAACCGCTGAGAGAGACACAGTAACACATCACCCGCCGGATACAAAGGCTGGGCGCCGCCGTCGCATCCTCAGGAGGACGGCGGAGCCTCCCGCGCTCGGCGTCTGCGGAGCCTGCGTAGGGCGCCGCCGCGAGGCGCGCCGCTCCCGGGCCTGCAGGGCGGT